AAGACTCAACAATTTGATCTAAAACTCGAATCAAAACTTGTTTCAAGATCTCATAGGGCTTAACCAACATTTTGCTGTTGCAGAATTTTGAAAAAAACCTAATTGCGCGACTTTCGAAATCCAAATGTATCTTTTTACACAAAAGTTATTTTTAAGTGATTCGAAAACCATTTGAAACCTAAGAGATATATCTAAAAATCATCAGAAGACATCAACATTCCCAGGTATTGGAAAATATGTAAAAAACAGCAAAATAGAAAGAACCACTGTTTCCCTTTGAAACTTTGAAAACAGACTGCACGTTGTTCATATTTTCGACGTAACTATCAAAATAAAAATGATAATCACTCAATTCATTTTCCTCTCAGAATATAACTCAGAGAAATACAACTTTTATGAAGACATTAAAGGAAAATAACAAGATCCCATCACTCAGAAATAGTGACAAACACAGACGATCTGCTGCAACAATGAAATAAAAAACTGAACGCGCAACAATTTTGTAAAAGTCATAACGTATTCGTTTCAAATCGGAATTACAAAATTCTAAAGCCCAGATATAGATAACTAAACATACTATATTTCATAAGAAGAAAGAAACTTCAAATAACTGTTCTCTGATGGCTTAACCTGAGGTACAACAGAAATAACGAACACGCAATTTCACATGAAATAACAATGAACACATATAACAAATGTTCTAAGCTCGACTATGATTAATATGACTTCTTGACAGCAAATAAACGAGCACAATATGGTTTATCATAGCAACTACATGATACTCTATTTAACGAAGACACGAACATAACCCAATAAACGAAACGACATATAAAAGCCGACGGATAATTCGATAGAAAACCGACTTCAAACACGAATTCGATAGCACGTATGATATATATCTATCATGCGATATATAAGAACGACCGTAATAACGAGAGGATTCGAATAAGTTACCCGACTCCTGGAAACTACGAGTTATCGAACAGAAAATGGGCCTGACAGTGGGTCGGACGAACGGCTCTGAGCTCGGAACCTTCGACTACGGGCCTGAAAGCTATTGGTTCTCGGATAATGATGGCGTGTGAGGCTCGGTTGCTGATCGTCGGAATAAGGTGGTGGTCGGAGGTTTCTGGCTGAAGGTTCACGATGGTGGTCAGTTACAGCAGATCGTGAGGGAAGATGGATGATGGTAACAATGGTGGGTTTTGAAAAAATATAGCTAAGGAGGAGAGGGAGAGAATAGTGCCGAGAGTGATGTGAAAGAGAAGAATGAAGATTTCTCTTTTT